CAGTGTTCAATTTTTAAAAAGTTCAACCATTATCAATATCTCTAAAAATAGGAAAAACAGTCAATATCAATAAAACAATATTTTTATAGTAACCAGTGCCTGTGAAGATTTTGTGAGCCAATAACTCTGCTTCTATAGATACACAAAATCTACTTTGGAAGAAAATGTGGCAGCATATACTGTATACTTCATAAGCAAAGAGTAAACAACAGACTATGCTTTGTTTAAAGAGGAATGTGGGCCATTGTTGAAGTTAAATTACTCAATCCAGCTATCAAAAGATAATCCACCAAATGGATAAAGTGCTAAAAGTCAATCCACAGAATAGTCAATTTGCTAAATTTATTTTTAAAATTCTAAAGTTCATAATAATTAATATTGCATGGAATATTTTAAGCAATCATTTTGTTTTGGATAGTTAGCACATTTTATCTTTTTTTTTTTTCTTGACATAATTTCAAGAATGCCCATTCATGTTTCAGCAACTTGCTGCTGCAGGAATGAGAATACACAGACCAGGCCACCCAGGACACAGTGAATCAAAGGAAGCCTAGGGCAAGTTCCCGGAGGCACAGATCAGAGCTGGACACAGATGGGAGGAGCCCTAAGGATATCTTTTTAAAAAATGTCCCCAAGCTTCAGAAAAGTGGGATACTCATATTTTTAGTATCTAAACAAGACGACTCGAATTTAGTAGAAATCTGCAAAGGCTGATAAAAATACTGTACCTCTTCAAATTGTTTCAAGTACACGTTACAGATCCCTCATTTGAAATGCTTGACCAAAAAGCTTTTCAGATTTTTGCACTTTTCCAAAATTTGGAATCTGAATAGATAGGAGATATCATGGTGAAGGGATCCAAGTCTAAACAGAAAATTCATTTATACTTCCTATACATCTTAAAACACAGCCTGAAGAAAATACGAGATGGTATTTTTAGTGTACCTGCATATGACTGATGAACTTTCACATGAGATAAAGTGTGGAATTTTTCTACTTTTAGAATGTTGGTGTTTCAAAAAGTTTGCATTTTGGAGTATTTCAGATTTCTAATTATGAAATCTCAACTTGTACTACAATTAATTTTCATTTCATTATATATCAACAAATTTTAATTTAAATAGATTTAGCATATGATCCTCACTTCCATGTACATATCTAAAGAATTTCCAATCAGTATATCAGTGACGTTGCTGCATTCCCATGTTCACTGCAGTGTTAGTCATATTGGCTGAGTTCCAGGAACAAGTTAAATGCTCATCAAAGAATGAATGGTTACAGAAAATTGCTATCTGTACACAATGGATTATTTTACACCCCCCAAAAGCAAGGTAATTCTATAATTAGTGACAACATAAATATTTAAAATTTAAAAACATTTAATTGAATATTTTTATTTTAATATTATTCAGATTTTAGATTTTTTCAAAAATTTGGAATATTTGAATAAAAATACTGATTAATGCTGATTAAATTAATTATTGATTTTTTAATGATGTGAATAGTATACTAGTTATATCATTAATTTAATTATATACTTATGTCAATTATTAATTTAAAAATAAATATTACAAATTGTCCATTTAACAAATGGATCATTGGGGCCAGCGCTGTGGCTCACTTGGTTAATCCTCCGCCTACGGCACCAGCATCACACATGGGTGCCGGTTCTAGTCCTGGTTGCTCCTCTTCCAGTCCAGCTCTCTGCTGTGGCCTGGGAAAGCAGTGGAGGATGGCCCAAGTGCTTGGGTCCCTGCACCCCTATGGGAGACCAGGAGGAAGCTCCTGGCTCCTGGCTTCGGATCGTTACAGCTCTGGCCGTAACAGCCATTTGAAGAGTGAACCAACGGAAGGAAGACCTTTCTCTCTGTCTCTCTCTCTCACTATCTGTAACTCTACCTGTCAAATAAAAAAAAAAATAGATCATTAACAAAATGTCTCTTAATAAATTGGCTTCTGGTGAGTTGACTAATAGCTTAAAAGAATGTAGATCATGTAGTGTGATGCAGTAAAGCTATTTATTAAATAAAGGGCATGGTAGAAAATAATACCTTTCTGCTGGTATAAAGAGTTAATAACAATATACCTTCAAATTAGCCTAGTACCACCATAGGGGAGGAGAAGGACTTTAGCCCAGAAGCCTGTAAGGAAAGTTTGCTAATATGTTTTCAAATAATGAAAGACATTAAGTTAAATTTACATGCAACAGAAAAAGTAATTTATGTCTCCTCTTCTTTTGGGGATCTTAGCTCAGTCCCTTTGCTGAGGACCTGATTGCCAAGGCCTCAGACATTCTAAAGCATCGTGTAAGATTATAGGATTTTGGCCGGTGCCGCGGCTCACTAGGCTAATCCTCCGCCTTGCAGCGCCGGCACACCAGGTTCTAGTCCCGGTCGGGGCGCCGTATTCTGTCCCAGTTGCCCCTCTTCCAGGCCAGCTCTCTGCTGTGGCCAGGTAGTGCAGTGAAGAATGGCCCAAGTACTTGGGCCCTGCACCCCATGGGAGACCAGGATAAGTACCTGGCTCCCGCCATGGATCAGCGTGGTGCGCAGTCCGCAACGCGCCATCTGCAGCGGCCATTGGAGGGTGAACCAACGGCAAAGGAAGACCTTTCTCTCTGTCTTTCTCTCTCACTGTCCACTCTGCCTATCAAAACAAAAAAAAAAAATTAAAAAAAAAAAAAGATTATAGGGTTTACCAGGGGCTGGCATACAGGAAGGGTGACCTTTGACCAATAGCAAAGTGCAGGTTGCACAGAGTTGAAAAAATTAAAGAAACCTTCTGGAGGGTAATATCTGTCAAGAAGGTTTTGGGCCATAAAGCCAGTGTTATACACCCTCCTCTGCTCCCTCTCTTAGGAATGAGCAGCACGGGTTTACTCTACACATAAATCAAGCCAAGGGGGTATGGGAGGCCTCCCTGGACCCTTCTGCTGCCTTGGAAGTATGAGGTTCATAAGGTTCTTGGGAGAAAGTTGTCGGTGTCCCTTGGACTTGGGGAAGCCTCAATTCCTGTGTTTGATTAAAGAACTTATAAACATTTCCCAGAGGGATGGGCCTTGTAGTACTGCAGGTTAGGCTGCTGCTTGGGACACTAGCATCCCATATCTGAATGTCAGGTGGAGTTCCACATTTTCCATTTCTGATCCAGCTCCTGAGAGGAAGCAGGTGGTAACTACCCAAATGGGAAATTCACATTATATTCTGGGCTCCTGCCTTCAACCTGGTTCATCTCTGGTTGTTGCAGCCATCTGGGGAGTGAACCAACAGATGGAAGATCTCTCTCTTTCTCTCTCTCTTTCTCTCTCTCTTTCTCTCTCTCTCTTTCTCTTTCTCTGCCTTTCAAATAGATAAATTTTTAAAAATGTTTCCAGAGAGGCTACTGTGATCGATAAATAATACCTCTCTCTCCCCAAATATCTCTATGTCCCAAATCCTGGAACTTAAATTTCAAAAAAGATGCAATATTTGATTAAGAATCTTGAATGGGAATATTGTCCTGAAGTAACCATGGGGATCTTTCTTAGAGGTAAAAGTGTCCATGACAGAAGGGGAACAAGGATGAGAGTGGCTTGCTTTGAAGGAGCAGGGGAAGCCATGAGATAATGCGTGCAGGCAACCTCTGGAAGCTGAAAAGAAAATCGAGGAAATGGATTCCCTCCTAGAGCATACAACGGGAAGGCAACCCTGTCTACACTTTGATCTTAGCTCCACAAGGTTTTGAGCTCCTGATTTCTGGAACTGTAAAATAATTAACTTGGCTTGCCTAAAGCAGAAAAAAAAATGTGTGGTAATTGGTTAGAACAGCAACAGGAACTAAGACAGCTACTGAATTTAAGTGACAGCTGACTAAGTCCTATGTGTGTTCCTCTAACAATCTTTGATGTTTAATCTGATCCTGGATGAGGGATAAAAAAAGCAGGGTAGAAGACAGAGTGGGGAAAACTAAAGAAAAGAAAAGGAGAAAGATAAAGAGATGGAGAAGGAAGGAGAAGGAGAAGACAGATCACATCCATTTCCACACTGCAGGTTCTCTAGTCTGTGTCAGACTTGAGCTGAGAAAAAAACAGAGAATTTCTAAATTAAGACACAGAAGATGTGATTTAGAGCTGCCTGAAATTTTCTAGATCTAAAAATTTTAATGCTTGAAAGTGATCATAAGGCCATGGGACTATGTTATTTTACTTAAGGGTTGGAAAAGAAGAGTGGATTGGAAAAGAAAAAGTGGTAGGAAGATGTTATTCTTGCTTTTTCCTACAAGTTTAAGTGCATTCAAATTTGTGTGTGTGCAAGTAGACACACAAATGCGCACACACAGTCTACTGGGAATGAATTTAGAGGCAATTTTACCACATTTTACCGTGTAAAAGTATCTTTAAAAATTAGTAAATATATGTTTTATAAATATATGTTTTATTTTTAAGCAATGATATTTGAAGAACTCTGTCTTAGATATACTTGTAAATGTTGATGACATCCAAGAAAACTGGCTTAACTTTCCATGTTAATCACCATGGATCAGAAAAATCCACAAGTCTATATGAAGCAAGATGTGAAAAATTCAGTTTAATTGGAAAATTAGTAATTAATTTCTTTCTTAAAAATTGTGATCTTTCTAATATATTACCTGGCAATACTGATGTAGATATGAATGGGGTTATATATTTACCACTGCTGAACAGATAGAAGTTTGAGGCACTTTTATTGAAATATCCTGGGACAAAATAATCCTAAAAGGATAGAGAATTTGCTGCAATTTGAGACCAAATTCCAGATGGAAAAGTTGTGTGTGTTCTTCATTTCACTCTGTTCACTGACCTTCCTCCAGCCTTCTTCCAGGTGTGCCAAGTGCACTGATGAGTCATCTGTCTACATGGTTAAATTATTCACTCTTGACTATTAGAGAGTAAGGCTGCCCTGGGTAAAACATTATCCCTGTGAGGTTAACAGTACATACAAATGGAAGAGATCTTGGAAGTTTGTAGAGGTTGAATAGACGAAGGTCACATCAAGGGAGAGAGGAATGGTTGGAGCAAAGCGCTGTGGGCTGTGTGCTTGTAGTAAGGTGAAGAGATCAGCTCCAGTCCCTCCTTAAAGAGATTGCCTCCCATCTTGCCTCCCCCAAAGTGTCCTTTTCCAGGTGGGAAACAGACTTTCTATCCATTTTTTCATTCACATTTGCACTTCCCGACTTAACACTTGGTTTCCTTGCTTTTGTAGAATAATTCCTCACATTTGAAAAATCAGGTTCCTGGGCAGGGGCACATAAATGCCGTAGCAATGTTAATTGCTCTATAAACCATTATTTGTGGTCACTGCCTGATTTCTTTGCTTCTTGGTTGTTACAGAGAGGCTGAACTTTCAAGAATCATTTTGTAAGAACTGTTTTACATGGTTGAGTTGGATGGACTACCTTGAAGGCTCAGCCCAACGCCTATGTGCTGAGGTGAAATGTGTTGCTTGCCACAATATGTCTGGTGTCTCCAAGCTAAAAGAACAGAAGATCTTTAGGGAACTACAGCTTTTGGGAGTGAGGTAAGAATGTTATACATGAAGACAGTGTGCTGCCATCCATGCAATGGGTGAGTGAGATTTCTCTTTATATTACTATAAAATATAGCAACGGTAAATATAGAACAAATTGTCATCTTGAAAAATCAGCTTTTGTTGTAAACTTTTCTCCAAGTTTTGTGTTGCTTGAAGGAGTTGCATGACTTGCTTCTCTGATGGCTGCTTTGGATCTGAGAGTCCACATTTCATCCCCAGCCTTATGATCTCTGCCACTTGGGGGCATTCCATTTTGCAAGTTAGTGACATGTCCACAAAAAATAATGGGTTAAATTGCTCAGCAGTTAATTTATATTAATTTTGAAGAATGCATTTCAGTATTCAATTATGTTAATAAAGACATTTAGTTTGAGAGTAGAATTGCCCATTCAATTAAAAAAATCACAACACTCATTCAAAAGAAAGCATCTTTAGCAGAAAGGATTTTGAAAGAGCCAAGCATCTAAAAATCTTTTTAACTGAAATTCTTTTAAATGTGGCTTGTAGCTTAATGGGGTACTATGTGGCAAGATTGCTCCCAGAAAATGGCCATTTTAAAATATAATGACATTAAAGCATGTAACAAAGAATGTTCTATTGCAACTTATAATATATTGGATACACAAATTTAGGTAATGATAGCTAGATGTTTTGTGCTAACAAGCTCATAATACTGATACACAATATGGCATGCTCTCTTCTTTTGTTCAGTGTTAGAAACTGCAACTATGATAGTTAACAAATGAGTGAATGGAAATAGAAAATTCATGAGACTTTGTCTACTTCCTTTGTCAATACTTTCACTCAAATATATCATTTCAATTCAACATTAGGATAAATGCATTTTGGGAATTGTAAATAGCTGAGAATCAGAATTCAAAGATCACGGTAATTTCCCAATGACTGACCAAAAAGATATACAAATTTCTTAAAAAGGCATTCAAAATAATTATTTTAAGAAAGCTCAACAAACCTAAATAAAATAGAGAAATAATTTAATGAAATGAGAAAAAAATGCTAAGTTAATAAAATGAGAAATTCAACAGAGAAATTGAAATTAATTTTTAAAAAACAAATAGGAATTCTGGAGTTGAAAGATATAATGAATAAAATGAAAAATACAACAGCCAAACAGTGAGCATTAACAGTAAAACTGACCAACCAGAAGAAAACTCTTAAACTATGTAGCCAGAGGAGGGAAAAAATGAAAAGAAGTGGAACAAGTTTATGAGATTTACAGAACAGCATAAAGTAAGCAAAAAAAGTCCATTTTAAGAGTTAAAAGAAAGACAAAGGAGAAGAAAGCTTTTAAAAGAAATAATAGCAGAAAACAGACCTTTAGCTGTTTCAGATTGGTAGACCTGTGATGCCTTCCTCTCACAATGTACCCTGTCTTAATTAAGAGTTATTAGTCCTAGTCTGTGGCCTATGAATAACCATCTCTAATCTAAACATGAGTTAGTGAATTCATGTGCTTTTTTCTGGTTATTAAAGTCACAAACACTTTTCACAGATCAATTTGAAGCTAAACTATAAAATTTGGGATAAATCTTACTGAAAATTAAATTACAAGTTATAAAATATAAAAAGAATAAAATCAATCCTAATTAATTCTATCAGTGAAATTGAGTTGATACGAGTTTTTCCTATAATGCTTCCAGGCACAATTTTAATCTTGATGACATTACTAACTTCTAGGATTTTACAGAGAAATCTCGTGTAGAATCAACTTTCTCATTCTAAATTCTTTAAATGCCAGTCATAGCCACAGTTCTTTTCTTTTTGCTCATAACAATAATAGAATATGACATCTTGGATAGTTAAACTTGCAACTTTCAAACATTATAAAGCCATCTGGAACACTTGTAAATCACAATTCTATGAAAGTCTTAACTCCTCACTGCTAATTGTGTTTTTTTTTTTAACATTTTTTTTAATTTTTTTTGACAGATAGTGTTAGACAGTGAGAGAGAGAGAGACAGAGAAAAAGGTCTTCCTTCCGTTGGTTCACCCCCCAAAAGGCCGCCATGGCCAGAGCTACGCCGATCTGAAGCCAGGAGCCAGGTACTTCCTCCTGGTCTCTGACGCGGGTGCAGGGGCCCAAGCACTTGGGCCATCCTCTACTGCCTTCCTGGGCCACAGCAGAGAGCTGGACTGGAAGAAGAGCAACTGGGACTAGAACCAGCGCCCATATGGGATGCTGGTGCTGCAGGCGGAGGATTAGCCAAGTGAGCCATGGCCCCAGCCGCTAATTGTGTTTTAAAAGAATAGAATGTCAGTAACTCAAATATTCCTACATTTTGGGAAATTAATCAACCAACTTTATTTTGGAATAATATTATTCTAGACTTTATATTGTTTTAGGAATAGTGAGACATTAACAAGTCCTTACCCTCAAGAAATTGACACCATGATTGAGAAAGCAAAGTGAATTCAATAGAGAATAATTCATGAAGATACATTATATAAGCCAGGGAAATTTAGTATCTTTGTGTTTATTACATAAGAAAAAAAGTTGGATGAGAATTTTTGTTCTTCTTAACTGTAGTGAAAATTGTAATGCCAGTAGAGGGCTAAAGGTTCCTCTCAATATTTGTGCCATAAATATGGTAAAATCAGAATGAAGATAGCCCTGTAATAAGGAGATGATTCATGAAGACTCTGCTAGCAGATTGCTTATAACAATGTCTTTATAGGCATTTGACATCATTGTCTTAAATGTATGCAGAAAGTAAAACATGTGACAGTAATTTATGTTTTGTCATATTTTTGAAAATAGTCACTTTCTCCTTATCTGCAATCATTTTGAAATTGAGGGTAGAGGTGGTACAGACACTTTGCTAAGTATTGAGTGTATGGAAAAGAACAAGAACTAGTCCATGTTCGTAAATAATTCATTTCTAGTGTCATTTTCTTATTTCTGGTCATAGTAATTTTTCATTTAGACTCCAACCTAATTTTCCTTGCCTCTCTCTTCTTTCAATTTATCTATATGCTATCAAGGAGAGTTTTCAAAAGTACAAATATAAAATTCTTCAATTATTTTGCTTTTTATATTGACTATAATTTAGTTTCTTTATTGTCACATGTGTATTTTAACATACTGATTTTTTCTCGTCCATTTTATCTGTATTGAAACTACACTGAATTATTTTCTGTTGCCCAAATATAAATGGCTTTTCACTGATCAGAGTCAAGGAGAATATCTTGAACACATTCTTATTGTCATATAAACATTTTAAAAATGGATTTGACTCACCTTCTCATGTATTCTTATTTTGGAAGATAATGCTTAGGCTGAGAAATCATAGACGCATACTTCATACTTAATGGATAGCGTAGGCTGTGATATATGATGGTTTAGGACCTTGAATGTCACGCTGGGCGTTTGAACTTTAGTTTAACAGCATTGTGATGCTGATGAAGGGTATATATATAATTTTAAAGATGCATATATATACATATATATGTATATTTTGAAAGAGAGAGGGAGAGGGAGCGAGAGAGAGAGAGAGGCTTTCACCCACTGGTTCACTCTTCAGATGGCTGCAATGGCCTCATCTGAGTCAAACAGAAGCCAAGAGCTTCATCTAGATGTCCTACAAAGGAGGCAGGGACCCAAACACTTGGGTCACCCTTTGCTGTTGTTCCTAGGTGACTAGCAGAGAGCTGGATTGAAAGGGGAGAGCTGGGACACAAACTAGCACACATATGGGATGTTGGCATTGCAGGAACTGGCTCTACTTGCTACATCACAGCACCGCCCCTGTGGTGAAGGTTATATTTTTATTGTATCTTATTTTCCAATAGTTTTCTTCAGAAAATGTATCAAGAGTGTCATATCAACTTAACTGATGTTAGAATGGAGAGGGGTAAAAAATTTAGGAGCATATTGCAGTTTGTACATAATGTGATTATATCTTGTATTGAGGTGTGCTTTCAAAGAAAAGATAAAACCAATGAAATTTAGGGTAATTTAAAAATATAAACACAGCATGTATGAAAATAGTATTCTTTAAATGATTTTAAAATAATCATTATAATTTAAAAACATATTATACTTTTGCACAGGTTTGTGTTCCTAATCTTCTGGTCTCCTGTTGCCCTGGTTTTGCAGGATTTCTCAAACACATAACCCAAGTTAGGGATCAGTTCTTTGTATTTTTATGAGACTCTAGGAGCCACTAACTCATTTTGTGGCCTTGTGTTTGTAACACAGAAGCTTCAAGCGAGGAGAGAGGGTGAGTGAGCTGGAGACAATTTGAAGGTATAAGAGTAAAGAAGTGAAGAAATGGGAGATATGATGAACTATTTCACACATGCAGTGTCAATAGGTATATGATGCTGTATATTCCTGTGCATCACTTGCAAGACTCTCTTGAGAGTTTTTTAAATAATCTGTATTCCCTTTGAAAAGACTCATACTATTACATTATAGAATCTTGACACCCCATGATACACCTGAAGAACAAACTATGGGGAATTAAAATCTTTAGGAGAGATGACTCCATATTCCATCTATCTCTATTAATAAAGTGCCCATTATCTTTATAAATAGCAACGTCAAACCTGACCTTGTTATCCTGTTTGCTGAAGTGCCAGCCACTTTATAAATCATGAGTTCAGGGTCAACAAATGAAGGCTTGTGTTCTCAGGATGGAGAGTTGAGTAGACTTACTATTCATCATGAAGAGTCATTTAATCTACTTTTTAAGAAATGAAATAACAATCTGCAAATCTGATTTTTCTTTTCATGTGACATCTCTAAAGGATAAAAAACTGAATTAACAGATTTCTCAATTATTAGGAATTTACATGAAATTAAAATTTAATAAACTATAACCATGTGAATCTGATTTAATTTAGCTTACATTTACATTTTAATTCAGGGAAGAGAGTGGTTTACATACACATACCCTGTTCTATTAAATGAGCCTCTTATTAGATACTGTATAAAACAATCCTTGATTAATGCTTATTATGTGAAGTCGTGTAACAATTAGCTATAATTATAGCATTCCATTCTCTGATTTAAATAGGAACACACTTCCAATCTGAGTACTCAGCTTTCAAATGCAGGTGAATAGATGGCAAACAGTGGATTTCACTGCTAGGCTAAACTCAGTCAGGTGGTCAGCCATAAGACATCTTTGTGTTAACATTTTATTTCTGCAAAGTATTTTCCATAATGTGAGTAAATTTCTACTTATGTCTTAGGGTTGACTCTGCTCCTGGGATAGGGAACTGGAAACTAAAAACAATTATATTACAGAACTTAATAATATAAATGTCTTCTTTAATTTTCTGAATGTTTGCAGTCAAAATTTTACATCAGAGAGGACAGTATAGCCTGGTAGTTAAAATGCCTTTGTCTCACATGGAATAATTTCTGGCTCCAGGTCCTGGCTCCAACTTTCCACCAATGCAAACCCAGAGAAACAGAAGTGATGATTCAAGTAAATGGATTTCTGCCACCCTTATGGAAGACTTGTATTGAATTCCCCACTTCTAACTCAAGCACCAACCCAGACCTGGCTCTTGAGAGCATTTGAAGAGTAAACCAGAACAGTGGATGAGTTTTTGTCCCCTCTCCCTTTTCCCTCTGTGTGTGTGTGTGTGTGTGTGTGTATCTGTATCTCTGCTTCTCAAATAAATAAATACATACATCTTCTTCACCCAAACAGCTAGAGAGGGAAACAAGGAAACTTACCAGGGGGCTTCAAAAAGTCCATGGATGATTTGCATTATCTTTCAATCCCATTTGTCAGTGAAGTTTCTGAAGTACCTTTCATATGAATCATTGTTTGATGTATTAACAATATTAATTATTGAGGCTAGTATTGCAGCACAGGGGTTAAGCTGCCGCTTGAGGTGTCTGCATCCCATATTTGTGTGACTACCTGGTAGTCAGCACATCATGGCCCAAGGTTCCTACCACCCATATTGGCCAGCTTTGGCCTGGTCCAGCCTTGGCTGTTGTGTTCTTTTGGTAGGTAAATCACCAGGTGGAAGCTTCCTATTTCTCTCTCTCTTTCTCTCTCTTTCATGCTCTAGCTCTCAGTTATCCTTTCAAATAAATAAACAGTTTTTAAAATGGCCAGGAAACCTGGTACTATGGTGATAGATAGATACATAGATACATGCATAGAGATAGATAGATAGAGATATGGGTAAATGGATTAGATATAGATATGAATATAGATAGATATAGATATAGATGATATAGATATAGATATGGATTCTTCCTCCATCTCCAGAGATAGATGTTTTAGTTAGTCATACAGACACCAAGCTGAAGTTTACCTTTCTGGGCACCCTTACAGGTAAGGGTGACCATGGGACTAGTTTCTGGCAAATGTGACATGGAAGGAAAATGCGTATGTTTTCATAGTCATGTGCTTAGGAGAAGAGCAGTAGCCTCTTCCTTTTTTTTCCCATGTTGTCAGTTTGTTTGAATATGGACATTATGGTAAGTTGGAACAGCCACCATCTCAACACCTGAGATAGAACCTGCTGGAAGAAGTTAGCAAAGCAGTAAACTGGTGGGGCCAGCATTATCTGATGTCATGAGCAGATTTCTTCCACCTGGAGTGTTTTCAAGACTGCTATAAATTTCCCTTATTAAAGCAGCCCCATCATATCCTTAAAAATACCCAAATCTCAATGTGAAAGAATGGAACATTTTTAAAGTCTAGATTAGGCAAAGGAATTGTTTGATCTGAACATATTTACAGTAATTCCACTCTATCCAACAGGACTTTCTGGGATGATAGAAATGTTCTCTACAATTTAATTCAGTGTCTGATATCTACATGAAGTTATGGAGCATTTGAAGTGTGAATAATTGTTCTAAGGAATTATATTTTTAATTTTAGTAAATTTTTGATAACTCAAATTTGAATATTCTCACAGGGTTAGTTACTACTATATTGGGTGGCACAGATGTAATAGTTATGTATCCATTACTTTGTCTCATTATACAATTCAAAAATTCTACCTATTTTCTTCCGTAGTCAGAGGGATGATGGCTGTTAAAAATAGGTCAGAAGTGCCTAAAACACGTATACTTACTAGTTGGACTGTCAGAAGTCTACATGTCTTTAGTTTGTGGGAATCAATAATTAACTAAATGTTTTAATGCACAAGTTATCAAACATGTTTCTGTATGGAGAAAATACGAAATGAGAGGCTGCTTCCTTGCACTTGCTGTGTGTGTAGTCATGCATGTAGCTGACTCCCCTCTCTCTTAGCTTTACAGGGAGGTGGCAGAGAGATTTCTGGGCAAGCATCAGCTGCTTACTCTAGGCTCAGGCTTCCGTCCAGAGTTTCTCTCTGCTTTCTCACCACGTCTATTTAGGTTGGCAAATGAATTTAAGGGATCCTCTTTTATCACTCTTTGATGAGATTTAGAAAAGATCGTGGTTGAAGTGCACAGCCTCCTGGGGCTGCTGCTGTGGTTTGGTAGGCTAAGCCTCTGCCTGCAGTGCCGGCATCCCATATGGCGCTGGTTCTGGTCCCGGCTGCTCCTCTTCCAGTCCAGCTCTCTGCTGTAGCCTGGGAACGCAGCAAAGGATGGCCCAAGTGCTTGGGCCCCTGCACCCACATGGGAGACCAGGAAGAAGCACCTGGTTCCTGGCTTCGGATCGGCATAGCTCTGACCATTTTGGCCATTTGGGGAGTGAACCAACAAAAGGAAGACCTTTCTCTGTCTCTCCCTCTCACTGTCTGTAACTCTACCTCTCAAATAAATAAATAAAATCTTTAAAAAAAATCCTCATGGAGCTACTCCTTCATCATGTAATTTTCAGCTTACAAGAAATTTTAAAAATTATTTATTTAAGAGGCCGGAGGAGTTGTGGGGTGGGGCGCTGCTGTAGCATTTTAGGCTAAGCCTCCATCTGCAGTACCCACATTCCATATGGGCTCCAGTTTGTGTCCTGCCTGCTCCTCTTCTGATTCAGCTCTCTATCTATGACCTGGGAAGGCAGTAGAAGACAGTCCAAGTGCCTGGGCCCTGGCACCCACATGGGAGACCCAGAGGAAGCTCCTGGCTCCTGGCTACAGATCAGCCCAACTCTGGCCCTTGCAATCATTTGGGGAGTGAACCAGCAGATGGAAGACCTCTCTCTCTCTCTCTCTCTCTCTCTCTCTCTCCCTCTGTCTGTAGCTGTAGCTCTCAAATAACTAAAATCTGAAAGAGAGAGAGAGAGAGAGAGAGAGAGAGAGAGAGAGACCTTGAACCTATCCATCAGCACACTTTTCCAGATGCCTGCAAGTGACGAGTGATGGGGTGGGAATTTAATCCAAGTTTCCCATGTAGGTGACAGGAATCCAGATTCTTCATTACCAAGAAGCTGGAGTCAGGAGCACAGTCAGGAGTCAAAATTAGGCATTCTGGGGTGGAATGCAGCCTGCTACATGGTGCTAAATGGTGTTTTATCTGCTAGGTATAATGACTTCACTTAAACGGTAATTCTGATTTTACTGTTATCTGATTTACACAAGTTTCCCTTTTAATCAGTGTGTTTTGAATTCTATTTTAAGAGACCAACTCTCACATGAGATCATTAAGAGGGTTTCCTGTATCATGTTCTAGTAATTGTAGAGCTTTTCCTACAGTCACTAGATTAAAAATTGAATTGGATGTTATTTTCATATGTATGATATAAGAGAGCATTCAAGCTTCTTTTTTCTATATGGACATCAATCAATCCTATTACTTGTTTTATTAAAAAATTTACTCTTTCTGTGTTGCCATACTGTGTGTCACTTTCCTATTTGCCTGGGTCTGGACCATCTTCTACGATCGTCTGTTTTTACTGATTTTTATCTGCTTGCTCTACCAAGTTATTAAAAACAATGTGAAAATCCTTCACTATTGTCGCTCCCCCTCTTCGTGGAGGAACGACACTAAACCCTGCCCAGGCTTCATATCCGAGTCACGGCACCATTATGTCGCTCCCCCTCTTCATGGAGGAACGACACTAAACCCTGCCTAGGTTTTCTATCCGAGTCACGGCACCATTATGTCGCTCCCCGTTTTCATGGAGGAATGACACAGGACCCTGCGTTGTTCTTTCGTCTGCTCGGCCCTCCCCGGGTTTGCTGCTGGTTCTTCCCGGGTTGGCTACCGTCCCTTCCACCTCTGTGGAAGGGGGGTTCCCCCTGCCACTTTCCCCACTTCCGCGGGGGAGCGGCACACCGCCGGCCGGCTCTCTCGGGGGCTGCACAGGTATTCCTTCAGATAGATGTTCCCGGTGCATGTTGTCTCTCTCCTCCTTTATAGTCCTCTTCCACCAATCCCAACTCTGCTACCCACACGCCGAGTACGCTGCTCTCCTCCAATCAGGAGTAGCTCCTGCTGCTTATTGGTTGAACTGGAGGCAGCTGTGTAGAAGGTGTTTCCTCCTCTCCCAGTGCCATATTGTGGGAGAGCAGATGCATAGAATAAGTCTTAATTCCAGTAACTTAGTCTAGTCCGAGTTGCTCCCAGTTGCTCCCCACAACTATACTTACAGACTTGCCTACTCCTCTTTATACTTTTTTTCATTTTTGGAGTTTTTACATTTTCCTATAGATTTATACCTCTTTCATACCTGTGATCTTTTTACCCTATAGTTATATATTATAAGGTAGTTTTGCTTTTAGTTTGGTTTGTATAGTATATTATTCCATCTTTTTATATACTAATATGTCATCTATAAGAATACTTAATCCAATTGTATAATTTTCTTAGCCTGAAGATACTTTTACTTTTATGAAGTATACCTTTTGTCCCATTTACATTAATAAATAAATACTATGTTTAACTTGTAAGTACATTACCCAACCATATCACCCACCTGCCTATGATCCTCTTTTTTTTTATTCTCTTGCCTTATTTCTAATTAAGTATTGTGTTAATTGTTGCATTGCCATCAATTAATTTGTAACTTACACATTATTTTTCTGTTAGTTATTATAATGATAACTATGTCTATTTAATTCATCACATCCAATGTTCATGTTTGATTTTGACACCTGTGTAAACCATAGACCATTTCAATTGGATTTTCTCTTATAACTTAAATGTCACTCTTGTTATGTTTATTAATTTCTCTGTCTTTTAAACATACAAATCATTTTTGTGTAAACAGCCATTATTCTTTTGCACATTCCAGCATATTTTCTTTTAGTATTTAATTTCTTTTTTCCTTCTGAGCTATACTTTGATATCATTTTCTTAAATGCATAAAATATATTTTCTATACCACTTAGGTTTTGAAAATCCTTTACACTATTATTGTGTGTTCTATGTATTTCAGGCATAGAACATAAGGACATATTTGTCCAACTTTTTAAACAAGTCTCAAAAAGAACATTCTCTACTACTCTATTTACTCTTAGTGAAAGTGGAAACAGTTTATGTATATTGCTGTCTGTTAATATTATTTTCCCAGTAAAACAGTTTTGGTTCCCATGTATATAAGACTTGTAAATATTACGTTAAATCCAATCATCATTTGGATACTAGAAATACAACAGTAAATAAAATGAACAAAAAATGTCGCCTTCATAGAGCTCACATTCTAATCTGGGGAGATATACACATGAGTAAAGTATAAAGTATATTTTGTAAACTACATCAGTTATGAATAGAAATGACTATTGATGGGAGGGAGATGGCAATTATGAGATTTTAGAGCATAACATTTCCTAAGCATGATGAATACCATGAAATCCACACTGAGATGCATCAGCATGAAACTGAAGATTATCAGACACAAAGAGCCATACTTTAAGTGGGTAGAGCAAATTGCTTACAGAGCAGAGACAGTGACAATTAGTCTGACAGTAGATATCTTATGAGCAAAAAGGATACCAGAAGAGCTTGTAATAATATCTTCAAAGTATAAGAGAAGAGATCCTGTAAATTTACAATTGTGCCCCAAAAAATGTGAACTATATTTTAAGGAGAGTAAAATTGGAACTTAGGTAGACAATACTTTTTTTTTTTTTTTTTTTTTTTTTTTGGACAGGCAGAGTGGACAGTGAGAGAGAGAGACAGAGAGAAAGGTCTTCCTTTACCATTGGTTCACCCTCCAATGGCTGCTGTGGCCGGCGCACCGCGCTGATGCGAAACCAGGAGCCAGGTGCTTCTCCTGGTCTCCCATGGGGTGCAGGGACCAAGCACTTGGGCCATCCTCCACTGCACTC